CAATGGTGGACATAAAATTAAGGAACAGTTATGGCCAAAGGTTCAGAAATAAGTGTGACTGATGGCTGGTATCTTGGTCCACACTCAGGTTTGAACCACGGAACTACAGAACCAGGAGTCATTACAGCTTGGTCTAAAGAGCCAGACTCCCTAGCAGGAGATTGTAACTGACTCACATCCTATGTAGATTGGGCAGAAGGAGCCACATAACATGAATTCACCAGTGGGTTACATAGATACCTATATTGTCGAAGCAAAATATGGGCATAGGAAACCCATCACTCAAGACTAGAGCTGGGCAAATTTTTTTGGGGGGGGGCGAATACTTTATTTGCTGAAAAATGCAATTTCGATTTACCAAAACTGTTCCCAAATTCAGGAAGAATTCAGCTAATAGTTTTGTCTGGAAAAAATTGGGGAGGAGGGGAAATCCCCAAAAGTTGAAATGTTTCAATTCAACATTTTCTAAATGAAACATTTTGACTTTTTGTTTCAAAACAACATTTGGTTTTGAAGTTTATCTAGATTTAACACAAAAAAAAGATAAAAAAACACTCAACAATTAAACAAAACATTCTATTTTGGAGGAAATTAAATGTTTAACTCAATCAATCAGAAATGAAATATTTAGGTTTTTTGTTTCATCAAGAAAAAAAACAAAAAAAATTGCTGGTTGACCCAATTACAGGTTGACCCAAAATACATTTTTTTTTCGGTTCAGCCACCAATACAAAAAAAAAAATCTGTTTTTCACCAGCTCTACTCAGGACTATGCAGTGGTAACTACACAGGCGTGTGCAAAAGAGGAAAATACCTCTTCCAACCACATAACTTTGCATTTAGTGCACACAATTACTACTGGTGATCAGAGGTATGTATTCTGTGGGGACAATTTAGACATTTATATTTAATACTCTGATGCTTAATGTTTCAGGATTCTGACTGCCTCTTCCACTTACTCATAAGCAGGAAAAGAGATGGCCAGGAGGCACAATAAATAGGACACAGCTGTTGCATCATACTTTTGGCCCCCTGCAAAACTTGATAGTTCCAACTGCCTGGGTCCCCTGCAGAGCCAAGGAAGAGATGTTGCATATGTTCATATTCTCCACCCATCACCATAGTGCCTGAGTACATTCCTGACTAGCACCGGGACACTGATTTCTTATCTCCCTATCAGGAATAATCTACGTGGAATTTCAGAAGCGACAGAATACAGGCCAGTGTTAGTGGATGGCTTGCACCACTACTGTACTGGCCACTGCCACAGAGTAAAATAGGTCCAGAGTTGGCCCAAAAGGGGAAGGAATGGGTGGTCATTTTCCACACTGCAACATCTGAAAAATGCAACAGCTGCTTCAAGAAAAATGATAGAAGCTTTTCTGATTTTCCTCCAGATGGTACTGCAATGAACCTCAAACTACTGGTATTGAAATCCCGCAAATCTGAGAACAGACAAATAGTGTCTGATTTTCTACACAACTTTAATCTGTTCTTTGACCTACCCCGTTCATACATTTTGGCCCAGCAGCTAAGTAGAGACCCAGTCACTTCACTTTGAGACGGAAAGCCTAGTATGAATGGCCCTTTATGGCTTGCCATTCAAAGTCTTTATGCATTTGGAAATCTCACATCGAATCTGACTTCACTATGTTAGAATAACAGAACTCTGTAGCTTCGGGTCACTGACATAATGTTTCAGACAGGCATTCCCATGTGGCGTACATTTTGTTTCAAATGAAAACAAGTGCCAATAGCAAGGGATTCTGGCACTTGACCCCAAGGACTAGGCTGGAGGCCTGGATTAACAGTGGTAAATCTCAGTGTAATCAACCTCAACCTTTTCCCTTTTATCACAGAAAAGGCTTCCGAACTGTACTTCTTGATAGTGGGGCTCCTTTAAATGGGAATTAAATGTAACTCCTCAATACAAAGGGACTCCCTTGTACTGAAGGATGTTAACTCCCCAAGCTCCTCTCTTCCAGAGAGACAGATTTCTGCAATCTGGGCTTGATTAGATCTAGTGATTTAATTGTGAAGGACCCTGGTTTAGCTGATTTTTTTTAATTACTGTCAAACAGGATGCATACACAACGGCCCCATCTATACTCTCTGTACAACTGAGTTTAAAAACCCAGGTAGTCAGCACTTCCGGTGGGTTTGCTGTAAGATATCCAGGGACTGAAATGGATGGAAGTCATCCAATGCATGAGGTGAGGAAGAGAGCGTTTTCCATGAATAGAGGGCAGCATGGAAGACAGCATGAGGACCAGGTTGAGAGAAGGGTTCAAAAGGCACCCTACAGGGCTGAGAGGAGCACAGTTTGAAGGAGGATATCTATCTAAGTACTTCTATGGTTTCCATCTCCATAGTATCCAAACACCTCACAATGATTAACCCATTTCTCCTCACAACACCCCTGTGAAGTAAGAAAGTGCTATTACCCACATTCTGCAGGTGGGGAACTGAGGTACAGCGTGACTAAGTGACTTGCCCAAGGTCACACAGGAAGTCTGTGGCAGAGCAGGGAATTGAAGTCAGGACTCTTTAGTCCCAGGCTAGTGCTCAAAGTATACAAGCATCATTCCCTCTGAAGCACCCGGCACTGACCACTGTCAGAAGACAGCATACTGGGCTAGATGGACCATTGGTCTGACCCAGTATGGCCGTTCTTATGTTCTTATGGGTAAATAGAAATAATTAAATCTCAGCCACTTTGTAAACTCATCCTCTAAAGCAGTGGTTTTCAATCTGTACTCCGCTGACCCCTGGGGTTCCGCAGGGTCCGCGAAAGGTGGTTGTTACCATAGAACAGTGGTTTTCACCCAGGAGTCTGCAGACTATATCTAAGATTTCCAAAGAGGTCTGCACCTCCATTCGAAATTTTTAGGGGTCTGGAAAAAGGTTGAAAACCACTGACCTAGGGATCAACCACTCAGTGCTACACACACATACTACATGACTGACTACAGCACACACCGCTCTCATTCTAAAACCCAGAGGGACGCTTTCTGCTCTCAGAAGCACCATGGATGCCAATGGAACCTGACTGCATAAATCAATGCGTGTAGCCCACAGGGTGCAGGGTCACAGGTGGAATCCCCATCACTGGAGGATTTTAAGAACAGGTTGGAGAAACACGTGTCAGGGATGGTCTGGGTTCATTTGGCGCTGCCTCAGTGCAGGGAGCTGGACTCGATGACTTCTCAAGGTCCCTTCCAGCCCTACATTTCTATGATCCCATGAGAACCCTGCCAAACACCCGAGATCGTCATTAAATCGCTCCTGCAAGCAAAGTCACGGCATGAAAAACTAAACACTATGTCTCTCCTCTTCTCTCGCTATTCCAGATGCTGGGGAGGCTTCTTAAATATGCCACTTGCAGATAAGGGAATGGACTAAATACATGTGTGTATCTACTGTGCTTGCAAATGCAACGTATTGAGCAGATTTTGAAAAGCATTGTTTGGCAACAAATAAATAAAAGAAGGATGGGTTGGCCTCAGCCAAAATCCTTTGTCTTTAATCTCCACATCCTCCTGCCCCCACAGCATGTCTGCCTGTTGCCCCCCTTGTTACAAGCTATCAACACATATGGGAAAGCCTCTCTTTACTGCAAATTCTGGTATGATAGAAGGAGACTCTGAGTCCCAGCCATTTGATATGCGGTATTAGTGTTACAAGAGCAACCGCAAGTCTGTCGGCATGTCGTTTTTTTACAGGGCACATGTTGCCCCACCACTTTATCGTCAGCATTTACCACTGACATGTAGGAGCAAAAGCACTCAGATCAGCTCTTTAAAACAAACTGTAAATTTCTCTAAAAGTGCCCGGGTACAGGAGATGCCACAATTAGCAGCACTCTGGGGAAACTGGACATTTGCCAGATTAGAACAAAATGGTTCCTTGCAGCACAGATGCATCGTTCCTTTAAACCACTTGTTCTGCTATAACATTTATTACTAATTCTTATTGATTTATAGCCATAAATATGCAGGGCACTTAACACGAATAAAAGTGCAGGTCTTTGCCCCCAAAAGTTTGCAATCCAAATCCCTGATCCTGGAAAGACTGATGCATGTACTGAATGTAATGCCCATGAGTAGTCTCCACTGAAGTCAATAACATCAATCAGTGTAGGTTTCCACATCTGAATTTTCCAGTCCTATTCAACGTACAAAGGGTTCTTTGATTTGTGGTAGTCATACAACCTTAAAGAGAAGATACTGGTGATAGGTTTCTTTCATATAAATGAGTGACTAAAATTAACTACTGTCACATGGGCAGAATTCCTCTTTATGATTCAGTTATCTCTGATGATTTACATCAGCTGAGAATTTGATCCTATGAGTACAGGAGAAAAAGCAAACCAAAGATTCTAGCTGGATTTCAAGTCACTAAAATAAAACACCCTAAAACAAAATGTAAGTTAACCCTACAGGAAGTCCTGTCTACACTGAAAAACTACCATGTTGGGAGATCCAAGTAAAAGGTAGGCCATCCCCCAAAACAGTTAAAACAGAGTTTGGTCTTGCAATATATTTGTGTTTTAGCCACATTCCTGGACCACTAAAGTCAAAGGCTATAGCAAAATTCAGGAACATCCCATAAGACATAATTCGGTCCCGTCTACACTGCAAGAACAAACTATTTATTAACAATTTCATAGATTATAAAGCAAGAAGGAACAACTGCGATCATTTACTCTGACCTCTGGAGTAACACCACAGGAATTCCCTCAATTCTGGTTTGAACTACAGCACAACTTTTAGAAAAACATCAGACCCTGATTTAAAGATTTTCCATGATGAAGAGTCTACCACAGCTCTTGGTAAACTGCTCCAATGGTTAATTACTCTCACAGTGTCAGATGGCCAATGTTACCCAGCGTGATAATTTTTAGAGCATAGATCTAAGTGGCATCAAGCACAAGACAGCTGCTGCATGGCCTGGGAAAGATGAAACCAAGAATTAAAGAGATGCAGTTTAACATGCAATACCTGAAGGGAAGTACCAACTGAACAGGCAACATCTTCCTTAATTAAAGTTGCATAGGACTGTAGGTATCGGGAGGGACACATCTGATGACTTGGCACAATTCGGCCATAAAAGGACGACTGGATGCTGATGGTGGTTCTGTGAGGGCATCTCAGGGAGACATATTCTCCATCGCAGGCATGGTCACTGTAATTCTTTAACACTCTTGATATAGAACCTGACAAAAAAAGATGACAAGAGCCATTAGCTTCCTGTCACTGATCATCATACTTTGTTACACAGGGCTGCCACTAATTAACTAAAATCCAGCTAATTAACTCTGACTGCACTGCAGTCAAGTAAATTTTGTCATCATCTCCCACTTCACAGCTGGGGAATGGACATGGAGATTAAGTAACTTGCCCAAGGTCATTGAGAGTGTGCATGGCAGAACTGAGGTTACTGCCATGCACACATGAGTTCAGGAGTTCCAGGCTCCTAGTCCAGCACTCGGACCACTAAATTGGGTTGTCTCTCTCAAACCGTATTTTAATTTCTTTGGTTGTTTCTCCCCTTTTAACCAATGGCATGAAAAGTTTGTTTTCTCCCTTCTTAGGTGGAGTCTCTAGGGTTTCTAGAAGGAAGCTGCTCCACAGAACCAAATCTTTCCCAGGGAGACATTACAACATCATATATCATAGTAAAAGCACTAAGAAGAATAGGTCATTTATCCATCAAACACCAGGGATGGATGTCACCATGACAACATCTTCTGCATCCGCCACACTCAAGCTTCAGGGTTAAGCATTCTGGTACTGACCCAGAGAGGTGATACTTGCCCTCAGCCACCACTGAGATCGGTGAGAGTTGTGGACGTTCAGTACTAGAGCTAGTCAAGGACATTTTCAACAAAACAGGTTTTTTGTTAGGAATTGCCAATTTGTCAAAATTGAAACTTTTTGCAGGAACATACCAATTTCAATTAGACTTCCGCTGGTAAAGATTTCTCCCATTCAGGATGGACTCTGGTCAAAACTAGCACGAAAGACCCACCCCTGAATAGCCATGTGGTTAGAGCTACACATCCAGAAGGTGGTAGAGCCTGATTCAGACCAAGGACTCGAAGCTGGGTATCCCATATCCTAGATTGAGTGCCCTAGTCATCAGGCTGTTGGTTAATCAGGGTTGGTGTGTCTCTCTCTTTCTGATGAAAAACTTGGAAAGGTCTCAGTTTCATCCTGATAAGGAAATGGCCTGGGAAAGATGAAACAGGATGGGTGGGGGGAAACATTCCCCAGTTCTACCTGGTACCTCTCAAGATCAAACCCCATGTCAATACAGCTCTGCTTAATAAACTAGCCAGTGCTTGTCCTAAACAAATTGGGAGCTTGCCAATTTTCAGGGTTTATCCTAGTCAACTGGAGGTGCTGTGTCTAGAAACCTGTGAAGGTTTACAGCCATTGGAAGAGGGGAGTGGGTTAGGATTCCTACCTGTAGTGAGCTCTACCCTCCGCTACCTGCTTCTGCTGGGAACCATTCCCAATCTCTCAGCTGGCCCCCACAGCGAAAGCTGTCTTCTTCTACAGCCAGCATCTGCCCCTCTCCCATCCCAAGTAGCAGCAGGGAGAAAGCCTGTGTGTCTGCAACAGAGACTGGGTGCTAGCACTTCTGAGCATGGAACCCAAAACCTGCTCAGAGGACAGGAGTCTGACTGGCTGTCCAGAAAACCAAAACAACCCCATCTCCTTTTTTGTTTATTGATTTTCCTTTCCCTGCCCTTTTCTCTAACCTTTTCAGTGGTAAATGGATAAAGGTTAAAGAGGGGAGGGAGGGGCAAGGCAGAAGAAAAAACAAAAACCTAGGAAGGAAGAGAAAAAAAAGTTTTGAAAATGTTCAAAACTGAAAAAAAAAATGATAGATTTCACACAAAAATAATATAAATTATTATTTAGATTATCATAGCGGTCCCTTTTGTGCGAATTTCCCACAATCCCCCTTCCTTTTCAACGATAGAGCAGGCTAAACAAGTGGGTAAGGGGGCCATCATGCTGAAATGGGTCAGAGGTCACAAGCTGGGCACAAGATGCCCAGGACAAATATAATCCTCCTCAGGGACCTCGGGGTTAAAGCAACACTGTAGCTCGGCCCCACCATTTAGCTTTGATTATAGGGTTTTGGATATTTCCTCTCTATCTTTTACTATTATTATTAAACAATTATATTGTCGTAACACCTCAAAATATACTCCAAATAGCCCCTTTGTTCAAATCAATCTATTAATTTTCAAGCACCAAGAGCAAAATTTGCCTATAAAAAAAAAAGAGGCTGGAATAAGCTCCCTAGCTGCATAAGAAGAGAGGCAAGAGCGCTGTTTAATTTTAAAGCATTTTTATTCCTAGTCTTAGGAAGCTCTGTTGGTGTAAAATGAACTGGGTCTGCTCAATGCTGTCTCCTACGTCAGAGAGCAAGTGGCCTGCACCATGGTGATTGCTTTGTCCTGATGCATCCTGGAGTCTGACGGATAGCTGTTCTCCCTCCAGTGGTGTGCAATCATAAAGCATGTCAATCGGATATGGCAAATTAATAATAAAACCAAACTTTAAAAAAAAAAGTTTCCAAGTTATCAGTCCACCACGTTAGGACTTCTCCCTGCCTTCTCGTGTACTCGGGGGGAAGGAAAGTGTTACCAGGAGGCAGTAAAGATTCCCCTGGCTTCAGAGGATTTGTCTCTCAAAGCAGCCGTCCCTCAGCATGTCTCCCGTGTCAATATATCTAGAACCAGGATGGCTTTCAATCCCCACAATTAGTGCAGATCACATGTTAGAGCAACTCATTACTCCCCTTTTCCTTTGGCAACAACAGAATAACATGAGTTCATTCAAACTCAAGTTAATGAAAACTATCGCTTGAGCCCTTTGATGGTGACTGGCTAATGACAACTAAAGCATGTTCTTGGAAGCATCTGGCACTGGCCACTGTCAGAGAGGGGATAGTGGAATAGACGGACCACCCGCCTGTCTGTGTTCCCAAGCAGAGCAGAAAGGACTAGGTGTGTAGATAGTCATTATGCTCTCTCTCTTCCCCTTCCCCATCTGCCTAACCTACTCCCAATTCAGTGAAAGCACTTTTGAAAATGCAAATTTTTCCTTATCCAGTGGCTCACTCTTCTGCATTCTGGGGTTAGGAAAGTGAGCATCTGAATTGATTTCAGCATTAGCATCAGGGTCTGGGCAGTGCTGGGGTGATCTCTTCGCCAATCACTGTGTAGAGACCTCAAACAGTGAGTGAGTTGCTGATGAATTGTTCATTGATTGAAATTTATAAAAGCATGGTCCTTGTCAAGCGTCTTGGGACTTCAGTGTTGCTTAGATAACAAGATAATAGGCACACAAGATAAATAGTAAACTTTCTCCTCTCTTTCCCCACACGGCGCTGAGGAGTCTCTTTTGGATATCTGCATGGGACCACTTTTTTAAATCATACAGGATGACACAGTATCAAATATGTGTTAACTGGTGCATAGAATTTGGTGGTAGGTAGATAAATGCAGTCTAAAGACATGTGAGCAGAAAGTTATTCATTCAATCCTTTTATCTATCTCCCTTGCTGGTTGCAGTGTAAATTACCAGTATTCACTGTTCACTATCGACTGGAATATAAATGACAATCACAAATGTGCAACCTTCAAGATAAAAACAAAGTCAGTTACTAGCAGGGTTTTGCGAGTTGCTGATGGGAATATAGTTTATACAACCATTTTTTCTTTACTAGCCTGACATTTTGTTAGGTTGAAAGTACACCTTTACCACAATATAACGCTGTCCTCGGGAGACAAAAAAATCTTACCGCGTTATAGGTGAAACCGCATTATATCGAACTTGCTTTGATCCGCCAGAGTGCACAGATCCGCCAGAGTGCACAGCCCCGCCCCCCCTGGAGCACTGCTTTACCGCACTATATGGATAGTGGATCCCAGGCAATCAAAAGAAAAGACTATTAAGATCTGCTGGCTTAACCAGGAGATCTTCAATTATCTGAAACTCAAAAAAGAATCCTACAAAAAGTGAAAGCTTGATCAAATTGTAAAGGATGAGTATAAACACATAACACAAGTATGTAGGGACAAAATTAGAAAGGCCAAGGCACAAAACGAGATTAAACTAGCTAGAGACATAAAGGGTAACAAGAAAACATTCTATCAATGCATTAGAAGCAAGACGATGACCAAAGACAGGGTAGGCCTGTTACTCAATGAGGGGGGGAAAACAATAATAGAAAATGTGAAAATGGCAGAAGTGTTAAGTGACTTTTTTGTTTCAGTTTTCACCAAAAAGGTTAGTAGCGTTTGGATATCTAACATAATGAACACCATTGAAAATGAGGTAGGATCTGAGGCTAAAACAGGGAAGAACAAGTTAAAAATTACTTAGACAAGGTAGATGTCTTCAAGTCACCAGGGCCTGATGAAATACATCCTAGAATACTCAAGGAGTTGACTGAGGAGGTATCTGAGCCATAAACAACTATCTTAGAAAAGTCAAGAAAGACCGGAGAAATTCTATAAGCCTGGAAAAGGGCAAATATAGTACCCATCTATAAAAAGGGAAATAAGGACAACCCGGGGAATTACAGACCAGTCAGCTTAACTTCAATACCTGGAAAGATAACAGAGCAAATAATTAAACAATCAATTTGCAAACACCTAGAAGATAATAAGGTGATAAGTAACAGTCAGCATGGATTTGTCAAGAACAAATCGTGTCAAACCAATCTAATAGCTTTTTTTTGACAGGGTAACAAGCCTTGTGGATGGGGAGGGGTGAAGTGGTAGATGTGATATATCTTGACTTTAGTAAGGCTTTTGATACTGTTTCGCCTGACCGTCTCATAACAAACTAGGGAAATGCAACCTAGATGGAACTACTATAAGGTGGGTGCAAAACTGGTTGAAAAACCGTTCCCAGAGAGTAGTTATCAGTGGTTCACAGTCAAGCTGGAAGATTATATCGAATGGAGTCCTACAGTGATCAGCCCTGGGTCCCGTTCTGTTCAATATCTTCATCAATTATTTAGATAATGGCATAGAGACTACACTTATAAAGATTGCAGACAATACCAAGCTGGGATGGGTTGCAAATGCTTTGGAGGATAGGATTAAAATTCAAAATGATCTGGACAAACTGGAGAAATAGTCTGAAGTAAAACCAAATGCAAAGTACTCCACTTAGGAAGGAACAA